CTGACCCCTCCAGGCCCCGAGCTGCTGACCGCCACCAGGTCCTGTCCTTTGACCCCCCCGGGCCTGCTGCTGCTGACCCCCCCGTGGCCCGAGCTGCTGGCCCCCAGGTCCCGTGCTTCTGACACCCCCAAACAATGTGCTGCTGACCATCCTGGGCCATGTGCTACTGACCCCCCGAGGCCCTGTGCTGCTGACCCCCTGGCAATGCTGCTGCTGACCCACCCGTGGCCCGATGCTGCTGACCCCCCAGGCCCGTGCTGCTGACCCCCTGGCCGAGTGCTGACCCCCCAGGCCTGTGCTGCTGACCCCCGGGCCACATGCAGCTGACCCCCTCAGGCCCTGTGCTGCTGACCCCCCAGGCCCGTGCTGCTGACCCCCCCTGGCCCTGTGCTGCTGACCCCCCGGCCCACTGCTGCTGACCCCCCGTGGCCCTGAGCTGCTGACCCCCCAGGTCCCGTGCTTCTGACCCCCCAGACCCTGTGCTGCTGACCCTCCTGGGCCACATGCAGCTGACCCCCCCAGGCCCGTGCTGCTGACACCCCCGTGGCCCGAGGTGCTGACCCTCCCCAGGCCCTTGCTGCTGACCCCCTGGCCCCATGCAGCTGACCCCCTCAAGGCCCTGTGCTGCTGAACCCCCAGGCCCGTGCTGCTGACCCCCCCAGGCCCTGTGCTGCTGACCCCCCGGGCCACGTGCTGCTGACCCCCCAGGCCCGTGCTGCTGACCCCCCAGGCCTGCTGCTGACCCCCCCGTGCCCGAGCTGCTGACCCCCCAGGCCCGTGCTGCTGACCCCCCAGCCCTGTGCTGCTGACCCCCCGGCCACTGCTGCTGACCCCCCGTGGCCCGAGCTGCTGACCCCCCAGGTCCCGTGCTTCTGACCCCCCAGACCCTGTGCTGCTGACCCTCCTGGGCCACGTGCTACTGACCCCCCGACTCCCTGTGCTGCTGACTCCCCCGGGCCTGATGCTGCTGACCCCCCCCGTGGCCCGAGCTGCTGACCCCCCCAGGTCGTGCTTCAGCCCCCCCTGACCCTGTGCTACTGACCCCCCTGGGCCTGCTGCTGCTGAACCACCCGTGGCCCGTGCAGCTGACCCCCGGCAGGCCCTGCGCTGCTGACCCCCCAGACCGTGCTGACCCCCCCTGGCCCTGTGCTACTGACCCCCGGGCCCACTGCTGCTGACCCGCCCGTGGCCTGAGCTCCTGACCCCTACATGCCCTGAGCTGCTGACCCCTCCAGGCCCCGTGCTGCTGACCCCCCCAGTTCCTGTGCTGTTAACCCCCCCGGGCCTGCTGCTGCTGACCCCCCTGTGGCCCGAGCTGCTGACCCCCCAGGTCCCGTGCTTCCGCCCCCCCAGACCCTGTGCTGCTGACCCCCAGGCCCTGTGCTGCTGACCCCCCAGACCCTGTGCTGGTGACCCTCCTGGGCCACGTGCTACTGACCCCCCGAGGCCCTTGCTGCGACCCCCCGAGGGCATGTGCTGCTGACTCCCCCGGGCCTGCTGCTGCTGACCCCCCCGTGGCCCGAGCTGCTGACCCCCCAGGTCCCGTGCTTCTGAGCCCCCCAGACCCTGTGCTGCTGACCCTCCTGGGCCACATGCAGCTGACCCCCCCCAGGTCCCGTGCTACTGACACCCCCGTGGCCCGAGGTGCTGACCCTCCCCAGGCCCTTTGCTGCTGACCCCCTGTGCCCCATGCAGCTGACCCCCTCAAGGCCCTGCGCTGTTGACCCCCCAGGCCCCGTGCTTCTGACCCCCCAGACCCTGTGCTGCTGACCCTCCTGGGCCACGTGCTACTGACCCCCCGAGGCCCTGTGCTGCTGACTCCCCCGGGCCTGCTGCTGCTGACCCCCCCGTGGCCCGAGCTCCTGACCCCCCCAGGTCGTGCTTCAGACCCCCTGAACCTGTGCTGCTGACCCCCCAGGACCCGTGCTGCTGACCCCCCCAGACCCTGTGCTGCTCACCCTCCTGGGCCACGTGCTACTGACCCCCCGAGGCCCTGTGCTGCTGACCCCCCCAGGTCCCGTGCCTCTGACCCCCCCAGACCCTGTGCTGCTGACCCTCCTGGGCCACGTGCTACTGACCCCCGAGGCCCTGTGCTGCTGACCCCCGAGGCCCTGTGCTGCTGACTCCCCCGGGCCTGCTGCTGCTGACCCCCCAGTGGCCCGAGCTGCTGACCCCCCCAGGTCCCGTGCTTCAGCCCCCCCTGACCCTGTGCTACTGACCCCCCTGGGCCTGCTGCTGCTGACCCCACCCGGGCCCCGTGCTGCTGACCCCCGGCAGGCCCCGTGCTGCTGACACCCCCGTGGCCCGAGGTGCTGGCCACCCCAGGGCCATTGCTGCTGACCCCGCGGGCCCCATGCAGCTGACCCCCTCAAGGCCCTGCGCTGCTGACCCCCCAGACCCGTGCTGCTGATCCCCCCTGGCCCTGTGCTACTGACCCCCCGGACCCACTGCTGCTGACCCGCCCGTGGCCTGAGCTGCTGACCCCTCCATGCCCTGAGCTGCTGACTCCCCAGTTCCTGTTTTGTTAAAACCCCCGGGCCTGCTGCTGCTGACCCCCCCATGGCCCGAGCTGCTGACCCCCCAGGTCCCGTGCTTCTGCCACCCCTGACCCTGTGCTGCTGATCCCCCAGGCCCCGTGCTGCTGATCCCCCTAGACCCTGTGCTGCTGACCCTCCTGGGCCACGTGCTACTGACCCCCCGAGGCCCTGTGCTGCTGACTCCCCCGGGCCTGCTGCTGCTGACCCCCCCGTGGCCCGAGCTCCTGACCCCCCCAGGTCGTGCTTCAGCCCCCCCTGACCCTGTGCTGCTGACCCCCCAGGACCCGTGCTGCTGACCCCCCCAGACCCTGTGCTGCTGACCCTCCTGGGCCACGTGCTACTGACCCCCCGAGGCCCTGTGCTGCTGACCCCCCGAGGCCCTGTGCTGCTGACTCCCCCGGGCCTGCTGCTGCTGACCCCCCCGTGGCCCGAGCTGCTGACCCCCCAGGTCGTGCTTCAGCCCCCCCTGACCCTGTGCTACTGACCCCCCTGGGCCTGCTGCTGCTGACCCGCCCGTGGCCTGAGCTGCTGACCCCTCCATGCCCTGAGCTGCTGACCTCTCCAGGCCCCGTGCTGCTGACCCCCCCAGTTCCTGTGCTGTTAACCCCCCGGGGCCGAGCTGCTGACCCCCCAGGTCCCGTGCTTCTGCCACCCCAGACCCTGTGCTGCTGACCCCCCAGGCCCCGTGCTGCTGACCCCCCGAGGCCCTGTGCTGCTGACTCCCCCGGGCCTGCTGCTGCTGACCCCCCCGTGGCCCGAGCTGCTGACGCCCCTGGTCCCGTGCTTCTGACCCCCCAGACCCTGTGCTGCTCACCCTCCTGGGCCCCATGCAGCTCACCCCCGGCAGGCCCCATGCTGCTGACACCCCCGTGGCCCGAGCTGCTAACCCCCCCGTGGCCCGAGCTGCTGACCCCCCAGGTCCCGTGCTTCTGACCCCCCCAGACCCTGTGCTGCTGACTCTCCTGGGCCACGTGCTACTGACACCCCGAGGCCCTGTGCTGCTGACTCCCCCCGGGCCTGTTGCTGCTGAACCCCCCGTGGCCCGAACTGCTGACCCCCCAGGTCCCGTGCTTCTGCCCCCCTGACCCCGTGCTGCTGACCCCCCTGGGCCTGCTGCTGCTGACCCCCCCGTGGCCCGAGCTGCTGACCCCCCCCGTGGCCCGAGCTGCTGTACTCCCAGGACCGTGCTTCTGACCCCCCAGACCCTGTGCTGCTGAATCTCCTGGGCCTCATGCAGCTGACCCCCGGCAGGCCCCGTGCTGCTGACACCCCCGTGGCCCGAGCTGCTGACCCCCCGTGGCCCGAACGGCTGACCCCCCAGGTCCTGTGCTTCTGACCCCCCCAGACCCCGTGCTGCTGACCCCCCTAGACCCTGTGCTGCTGACCCTCCCAGGGCCTTTGGTACTGACCCCCCGGGTCCACTGCTGCTGACCCGCCCGTGGCCTGAGCTGCTGACCCCTCCATGCCCTGAGCTGCTGACCTCTCCAGGCCCCGTGCTGCTGACCCCCCAGTTCCTATGCTGTTAACCCCCCCGCCCTGCTGCTGCTGACCCCCCCGTGGCCCGAGCTGCTGACCCCCCAGGTCCCGTGCTTCTGCCCCCCCAGGCCCTATGCTGCTGAACCCTCGGGCCCCGTGCTGCTGACCCCCCTAGACCCTGTGCTGCTGACCCTCCTGGGCCACGTGCTACTGACCCCCGAGGTCCTGTGCTGCTGACTCCCCCGGGCCTGCTGCTGCTGACCCCCCCGTGGCCCGAGCTGCTGACCCCCCAGGTCTCGTGCTTCTGCCCTCCATTCCCTGTGCTGCTGACCCCCCTGGGCCTGCTGCTGCTGACACCCCCGTGGCCCGAGGTGCTGACCCTCCCAGGGCCATTGCTGCTGACCCCCCGGGCCCCATGCAGCTGACCTCCTCAAGGCCCTGCGCTGCTGAACCCCCAGGCCCATGCTGCTGACCCCCCCTGGCCCTGTGCTACTGACCCCCCGGGCCCACTGCTGCTGACCCGCCCGTGGCCCGAGCTGCTGACCCCTCCCTGCCCTGAGCTGCTGACCCCTCCGGCCCCGTGCTGCTGACCCCCCCAGTTCCTGTGCTGTTAACCCCCCTGGGCCTACTGCTGCTGACTCCCCCGTGGCCCGAGCTGCTGACCCTCCAGGTCCCGTGCTTCTGCCCCCCAGACCCTAGGCTGCTGACCCTCCTGGGCCACGTGCTACTGACACCCCGACTCCCTGTGCTGCTGACTCCCCCGGGCCTGATGCTGCTGACCCCCCCCGTGGCCCGAGCTGCTGACCCCCCAGGTCGTGCTTCAGCCCCCCCTGACCCTGTGCTACTGACCCCCCTGGGCCTGCTGCTGCTGAACCACCCGTGGCCCGTGCAGCTGACCCCCGGCAGGCCCTGCGCTGCTCACCCTCCTGGCCCCATGCAGCTCACCCCCGCAGGCCCATGCTGCTGACACCCCCGTGGCCCGAGCTGCTAACCCCCCCGTGGCCCGAGCTGCTGACCCCCCAGGTCCCGTGCTTCTGACCCCCCAGACCCTGTGCTGCTGACTCTCCTGGGCCACGTGCTACTGACACCCCGAGGCCCTGTGCTGCTGACTCCCCCCGGGCCTGTTGCTGCTGAACCCCCCGTGGCCCGAACTGCTGACCCCCCCAGGTCCCGTGCTTCTGCCCCCCCTGACCCCGTGCTGCTGACCCCCCTGGGCCTGCTGCTGCTGACCCCCCCGTGGCCCGAGCTGCTGACCCCCCCCGTGGCCCGAGCTGCTGTACTCCCAGGACCGTGCTTCTGACCCCCCCAGACCCTGTGCTGCTGAATCTCCTGGGCCTCATGCAGCTGACCCCCGGCAGGCCCCGTGCTGCTGACACCCCCGTGGCCCGAGCTGCTGACCCCCCGTGGCCCGAACGGCTGACCCCCCAGGTCCTGTGCTTCTGACACCCCCAGCCCCGTGCTGCTGACCCCCCTAGACCCTGTGCTGCTGACCCTCCCAGGGCCTTTGGTACTGACCCCCCCGGGTCCACTGCTGCTGACCCGCCCGTGGCCTGAGCTGCTGACCCCTCCATGCCCTGAGCTGCTGACCTCTCCAGGCCCCGTGCTGCTGACCCCCCCAGTTCCTATGCTGTTAACCCCCCGCCCTGCTGCTGCTGACCCCCCCGTGGCCCGAGCTGCTGACCCCCCAGGTCCCGTGCTTCTGCCCCCCCAGGCCCTATGCTGCTGAACCCTCGGGCCCCGTGCTGCTGACCCCCCTAGACCCTGTGCTGCTGACCCTCCTGGGCCACGTGCTACTGACCCCCGAGGTCCTGTGCTGCTGACTCCCCCGGGCCTGCTGCTGCTGACCCCCCCGTGGCCCGAGCTGCTGACCCCCCAGGTCTCGTGCTTCTGCCCTCCATTCCCTGTGCTGCTGACCCCCCTGGGCCTGCTGCTGCTGACACCCCCGTGGCCCGAGGTGCTGACCCTCCCAGGGCCATTGCTGCTGACCCCCCGGGCCCCATGCAGCTGACCTCCTCAAGGCCCTGCGCTGCTGAACCCCCAGGCCCATGCTGCTGACCCCCCCTGGCCCTGTGCTACTGACCCCCCGGGCCCACTGCTGCTGACCCGCCCGTGGCCCGAGCTGCTGACCCCTCCCTGCCCTGAGCTGCTGACCCCTCCGGCCCCGTGCTGCTGACCCCCCCAGTTCCTGTGCTGTTAACCCCCCTGGGCCTACTGCTGCTGACTCCCCCGTGGCCCGAGCTGCTGACCCTCCAGGTCCCGTGCTTCTGCCCCCCAGACCCTAGGCTGCTGACCCTCCTGGGCCACGTGCTACTGACACCCCGACTCCCTGTGCTGCTGACTCCCCCGGGCCTGATGCTGCTGACCCCCCCGTGGCCCGAGCTGCTGACCCTCCAGGTCCCGTGCTTCTGCCCCCCCTGACCCTGTGCTACTGACCCCCCGGGCCCACTGCTGCTGACCCGCCCGTGGCCTGAGCTGCTGACCCCTCCAGGCCCCGTGCTGCTGACACCCCAGTTCCTGTGCTGTTAACCCCCCCGGGCCTGCTGCTGCTGACCCCCCCGGGGCCGAGCTGCTGACCCTCCCAGGTCCCGTGCTTCTGCCCCCCTGACCCTGTGCTACTGACCCCCCTGGGCCTGCTGCTGCTGACCCCCCCGTGGCCCGAGCTGCTGACCCCCCCGTGGCCCGAGCTGCTGAACTCCCAGGACCGTGTTTCTGACCCCCCCAGACCCTATGCTGCTGAATCTCCTGGGCCTCATGCAGCTGACCCCCGGCAGGTCCCGTGCTGCTGACACCCCCGTGGCCCGAGCTGCTGACCCCCCGTGGCCCGAACGGCTGACCCCCCAGGTCCTGTGCTTCTGACCCCCCCAGACCCTGTGCCGCTGACCCTCCTGGGCCACGTGCTACTGACACCCCGAGGCCCTGTGCTGCTGACTCCCCCCGGGCCTGCTGCTGCTGACCCCCCGTGGCCCGAGCTGTTGACCCCCCAGATCCCGTGCTTCTGACCCCCAGACCCTGTGCTGCTGACCCGCCTGGGCCCCATGCAGCTGACCCCCCCAGGCCCCGTGCAGCTGACCCCCGGCAGGCCCCGTGCTGCTTACACCCCCGTGGCCCGAGGTGCTGACCCTCCCGAGGCCCTTTGCTACTGACCCCCTGGGCCCCATGCAGCTGACCCCCTCAAGGCCCTGCGCTGCTGACCCCCCAGGCCCCTTGCTGCTGACCCCCCCAGGTCCTGTGCTGCAGGCCCCCAAGGGCCCCGAGCTGCTGACCCCTCCAGGCTCCTTGCTGCTGACCCCCCCAGTTCCTGTGCTGCTGACCACCCCGGCCCCGTGCTTCTGACCCCCCCAAGCCCTGTGCTGCTGACCCCCCGGGGCCCTGCAGCTGACCCCCGTAGGCCCTGTGCTACTGAACCCCCACAGGCCCATGCTGTTGACCCCCCAGCCCTGTGCTGCTGACCCCCCACGCCCTGTGTGCTGACCCCCCAGACCCTGTGCTGCTGACCCCACCCACGCCCCGTGCTGCTGACCACCCAGGCCCTTTGCTGCTGACCCCTCCAGGCCCGTGCTGCTGACCCCCCCAGGACCTGTGCTGCTGATCCCCCAGGCAGCGTGCTGCTGACCCCCCCAGGCCCTTTGCTGCTGACCCCCCGGGCCCTGCAGCTGACCCCTGTAGGCCCTGTGCTACTGAACCCCCACAGGCCCCGTGCTGTTGACTCCCCCCAGACCCTGTGCTGCTGACCCCACCCACGCCCCGTGCTGCTGACCCCACCCACGCCCCGTGTTGCTGACCCCCCCAGACCCTGTGCTGCTAACCCCACCCACGCCCCATGCTGCTGACCCCCCAGGCCCTTTGCTGCTGACCCCCCAGGCCCCGTGCTGCTGACCCCCCAGGCCCGTGCTGCTGACACCCGCAGGACTTGTGCTGCTGACCCCACCCACGCCCCGTGTTGCTGACCCCCCCAGACCCTGTGCTGCTAACCCACCCACGCCCCGTGCTGCTGACCCCCCAGGCCCTTTGCTGCTGACCCCTCCAGGCCCGTGCTGCTGACCCCTCCAGGACCTGTGCTGCTGACCCCCCCAGGCCCCGTGCTGCTGACCCCCCAGGCGTGTGCTGCTGACCCCCGCAGGACTTGTGCTGCTGACCTCACCCACGCCCCTTGCTGCTGACCCCCCAGGCCCTTTGCTGCTGACCCCCCAGGACCTGTGCTGCTGACCCCGCCAGGGCCCTGCAGCTGACCCCCGTAAGCCCTGTGCTACTGAACCCCCACAGGCCACAGGCTGCTAACCCCCCCAGGCCCCGTGCTTCTGACCCCCCCAGGCCCTGTGCTACTGACCCGCCACAGGCCCAGGCTGCTGACCCCCCCAGGCCCTGTGCTGCTGACCACCCCGGGCCCTGCAGCTGACCCCCCAGGACCTGTGCTACTGACCCCCAACAGGCCCCAGGCTGCTGACCCCCCCAGGCGTTGTGCTGCTGACCGCCCTGGGCCCATGCAGCTGACCCCCCAGGCCCTCTGCTGCAGAAACCCCCAGACCCGTGCTGTTTACTCCCTCAAGGCCCGGGCAGCTCACCCCCCCCACTCTGTGCTCCTGACCCCCGTGGCTCCATGTTGCTGACCCCCTATCTCTGTACTGCTGACCCCCCCAGGCCCCGTGCTGCGGACCCCCCAGGTCCTTTGCTGCTGACCCCCACAGGACCTGTGCTGCTGACCCCCCAGGGCCCTGCAGCTGACCCCCGTAGGCCCTGTGCTACTGAACCCCCACAGGCCCTGTGCTGTTGACTCCCCCCAGACCCTGTGCTGCTGACCCCACCCACGCCCCGTGCTGCTGACCCCCCCAGGCCCTGTGCAGTTGAACCCTCAGGGCCTATGCTGCTGACCCCCCGCGCACCCCATGCTGCTGAACCCCCAGACCCCGTGCTGCTGATCCCCCCTGCACTGTGTATTGAACCCCCCAGGCCCCGTACTCCTGACCCCCGTGGGCTCCGTGCTGCTGACCCCCCCAGGCCCTGTGTTGCTGACCCCCCACCATGCCCCGTGCTCCTGACACCCACAGGCCCTTTGATTCTGACACCCCCAGGCCCCGTGCTCCTGACCCCCTGGGCCACGTGCTGCTGACCCCCCAGGCCCTCTGCTGCAGAACCCCCCAGGCCCCGTGCTGTTGACTCCCCCAAGGCCCCGGGGAGCTCACCCCCCCACTCTGTGCTGCTGACCCCCCCAGGCCCTGTGGTGTTGAACCCTCAGGCCCTATGCTGCTGAAACTCCGGGCCCCGTGCTGCTGACCCCCTGAGGCCCAGTGCTGCTGACCCCCTATCTCTGTACTGCTGACCACCCCAGGCCCCGTGCTGTTGACCCCACCCACGCCCCGTGCTGCTGACCCCCCAGGCCCTTTGCTGCTGACCCCCCCAGGACCTGTGCTGCTGACCCCCCAGCCCCATGCTACTGACCCCCCGACACCCCATCCTTCTGACCCCCCCAGGACCTGTGCTGCTGAAGCCACCAGGCCCCATGCTGCTGACCCCCCAGGACCTGTGCTGCTGACCCCCCGTGGTCCGAGCTGCTGACCCCCCCGCCCCCGTGCTTCTGACTCCCCCAGGCCTGTGCTGCTGACCCCCCGGGGCCCTGCAGCTGACCCCCGTAGGCCCTGTGCTACTGAACCCCCACAGGCCCCAGGCTGCTAACCCCCCCAGGCCCCGTGCTTCTGACCCCCCCAGGCCCTGTGCTGCTGACCCCCAACAGGCCCCAGGCTGCTGACACCCCCAGGCGTTGTGCTGCTGACCGACCTGGGCCCATGCAGCTGACGCCCCTGGGCCCCATGCAGCTGACCCCTCCAAGGCCCCGGGCTACTGACCCCCCCAGATCCTGTGCTGCTGCTGACCCCCCCTGGCCCTGTGCTGTTGACCCCCTCAGGCCTTGTACTGCTGACCCCCCGCCCGTGCTGCTAACCGTCCCCCAGGCCCTGTGCTGCTGACCACCCCCGGCCCTGTGCTGCTGACCCCCCGCAGGCCTGTGGTTTTAACCCCCCGACGTGGCGTGCTGCTGACCCTCCCAAGACCTGTGTTGCTGACCCTCCGCAGGCCTCGTGGTTTTGACACCATGCATACCCCATGCTACTGACCCCCCCAGGCCCTGTACTGCTGACCCCCCCGGGCCCTGTGCTGCTGACCCCCCAGGCCCCATGCTGCTGACCCCCTATCTCTGTACTGCTGACCACCCCAGGCCCCGTGCTGTTGACCCCACCCACGCCCCGTGCTGCTGACCCCCCCAGGCCCTTTGCTGCTGACCCCCCCAGGACCTGTGCTGCTGACCCCCCAGCCCCATGCTACTAACCCCCCGACACCCCATCCTTCTGACCCCCCCAGGACCTGTGCTGCTGAAGCCACCAGGCCCCATGCTGCTGACCCCCCCAGGACCTGTGCTGCTGACCCCCCCGTGGTCCGAGCTGCTGACCCCCCCCGCCCCCGTGCTTCTGACTCCCCCAGGCCTGTGCTGCTGACCCCCCCGGGGCCCTGCAGCTGACCCCCGTAGGCCCTGTGCTACTGAACCCCCACAGGCCCCAGGCTGCTAACCCCCCCAGGCCCCGTGCTTCTGACCCCCCCAGGCCCTGTGCTGCTGACCCCCAACAGGCCCCAGGCTGCTGACACCCCCAGGCGTTGTGCTGCTGACCGACCTGGGCCCATGCAGCTGACGCCCCTGGGCCCCATGCAGCTGACCCCCCCAGGCCCTATGCTGCTGACCCCCCAGGCCCTCTGCTGCAGAACCCCCCAGGCCCCATGCTGTTGACTCCCCCAAGGCCCCGGGCAGCTCACCCCCCCTACTCTGTGCTGCTGACCCCCCCAGGCCCTGTGCTGTTGAACCCTCAGGGCCTATGCTGCTGACTCCCCGAGGCTCAGTGCTGCTGACCCCCTCCAAGGCCCCGGGCTACTGACCCCCCCCAGATCCTGTGCTGCTGCTGACCCCCCCTGGCCCTGTGCTGTTGACCCCCTCAGGCCTTGTACTGCTGACCCCCCGCGGGCTCCGTGCCCCATGCTGCAGACCCCCCCCCGGGCCCCGTGCTGCTGACACCCCCAGGCCCTGTGCTGCTGAACCCCCGCAGGACCTGTGCTGCTGACCCCCCCAGGCCCCGTGCTGCTGACCCCCCAGGCCCCATGCTGTTGTCCCCTCTGGGACCTATGCTGCTGACACCCCCCGGTCCCATGCTGCTGACCCCCCCAGGCCCTGTCCTGCTGACCCCCCTGGGCCCTGTGCTGCTGACCCCCCGCGGGCTCTGGGCCCCATGCTGCTGACCTCCTCCCCAGGCCCTGTGCTGCTGACACCCCCAGGCCCTGTGCTGCTGAACCCCCCCCAGGACCTGTGCTGCTGACCCCCCAGGCCCCGTGCTGCTGACCCCCCAGGCCCCATGCTGCTTACCCTCCCAGGCCCCGTGCTGTTGTCCCCTCTGGGACCTATGCTGCTGACCCCCCCAGGTCCCATGCTGCTGACCCCCCCAGGCCCTGTCCTGCTGACCCCCTGGGCCCTGTGCTGCTGACCCATTCATGCCCTGTCCTGCTGACCCCCCGTGGGCCCCATGCTGCTGACCTCCTCCCCAGGCCCCGTGCTGCTGACCCCCTAGGCCCTGTGCTGCTGCTGACCCCCCGCAGGCCCCGTGCTGCTGACCCACCCGGGTCCCGTGCTGTTGACCCCCCCTGGCCTCCTGCCGCTGACCCCTCACGGGCCCTGGCCCCATGCTGTAGATCCCCGCTCCCCGGCGGGAGCTGACCCCACCCTGCACCCCAGCAGCTAACCCCTGCAGGTCCCATACCCCTTGCTGCTGACCACCCCCACCGCCTGGCTGCTGCCCCCTGTGGGCCCTGTGCCCCCGCAGCTGACCCCCTGCGACTCCGGCCTGGCCTGGAGGCTGCCTTCCGCTCCCCGCTTTGCCGCAAGAGCGAAGCTGAGCACCCAAGGGAGACTAGCTCTGCGCCCCTGCAGCACAGAGACCCAACTGGTCTCTCTCCAGTTGAGAAACATCCCGCCCCGACCCAAAGATCTCTGACCCTCGAAGTCTTGGGACAACGCACAGCTATTTACGTCTCAGGCTACTACCCCTCTGATGTGCTTTAGGGGTTTTTCTCATTCAAGTCTTAGTCACACACTTTCTGGAACAGACTGTTTTTTAAATACAGCAGA